CGGTTGTATAACACTGAATGAAACATTGTAGAGGGGGGTAGAATCATCCCCTCCAAACAAATGAAGCTATCTGTTTGTCATATGTGTCAACCCTAATGCCTAAGGACGGAAACAGGAAGGCCTAGCAGTCCATGCTTCGCGGTCCTTATATAGACTAGACAGGCGGTTGGAGAGGCCCGACTCAATCAATCGGCTGATCATGATAAAACCTAGCACCTATATAATTAATCCCAAAATTATCTCATAACTATCAAACACTCTACCCATTATTATTATTTTAAAAGAGAACTAAGAAGGCGGATGTTGAAGGTCAGTCGAGTCGAAAAGAAACAAACATTGAGCACTACATCAAATTAAGGCGTCAGATGTTTTAGGTACTGAATCTTATAATTAACGATAGCTCAAAGACCGATCTCGATGAGAGTATACCCGTAGATCTACCCCGAATAGGTTTAAACTCCTTGATAAATTCCGTGGTGGATGTTGGAGAAGAGGATCAATGAAAATAAATATCAAATGGCAAACATCAATAAAAAACAAAAACGAAAGAAATATCTCTAACTATGCTTCAGAAATAAAAGCCGTAACAGAATTTACGAGATTCATCGCAATAGAATCTGTGATAGAAATTTCTCTGGTCACTTTTCACTTTCTCTGTTATATAAACAGATCCTAAATAAAGAGCGACCTGTCGGCTGCGGCAGTAGAAAACGCAAACTGCACTTCTGCCGAGGGGTAAGAACCCCTCACCCACTCAATGAGGCCACCTGTCTACCGTGGTTGACAACCTGTAATGCCGTACGACAGAAAGCTGGAGACTAAGCAGTCCATGAACCGGGTATATAAGTGGTCAGTGACGGGTGACACTTTGGCTGGATGGTCGGAGATCAATCGGCTGGTCATATCAAGCTCTGGCACCATTGTCTTACAAACTGATCGCATAACGATCAAATACCCTATCCTTTCTTATTTTAAAAAGTAGACGGAGGCTAAAGGCCAATTGTGTCGAAGAGAAATAAACTTTGATTTGTGGGTACTGAAGCTCAAACTTAACAAAGGTTCAAAGTCTTGATGAGAGTATACTGGTTGATATCACAACCAAGGCGAGTGAGTTTAACAACCCCTTGCTAAATTCCCGATATTAATTGTACTCTGTTGTGGGTGATGGAGAACAGGACCAATGAAAATAAATATCAAATGGCAAGCATCAATAAAAAAAAAAAACGAAAGAAATATCTCTAACTCTGATTCAGAAATAGAAGCCGTAACAAAATTTCTGAGATTCATAGTGATAGAATCTGTGATAGAAATTTCTCTGGTCAATCTGTCACTATTTTGGATTGAAAAGGCCATTACTAGCAGGGCAAGTCTACAGACAGTAAGAAAAATGAGAAGTGCCACCTTGCTTGTAGAAGTCAACAACAAAAATACATGGCTAGCATATTCAAAATGAAAGCTTTCCATCATTTAAAGACTGAACAACCTCGAATGGAGCTGTCAATAATAGGGAACTGTCAATAATAGGGAATTGTCCCTAGCTACGCTAAAGGAAATAAATACAGCTTTGAGAAAGCAAAATAGTTACAAACTATAGAATAAGAATAGAAAGGGGAAATCAAAACATCATAACGCATTAACTTAACAGTTAATAAATCCGTAATCCCGAAAGAAATAAACATTAGTTTTACGATTGAGACAGTCGAAGAATACATCCTCTATCCCTTCAGATGTTCCAAGTGTCAAAAATATAGACATCACAATAAAACTGCAGAAGACACCAGATCATATTGAGGTAGAGTGTAATCATAATATGAAAAGCGCTAATTGTTATGCAAACCATCTGGCCTTTGCGAAATCTTGCTGCTTATATATAAGCCACACGTGGGTACCTCAAAGCGGTGTAATGGTTAGCAAGCTTGTCTCGCTAGAACAATTACGACTGAATAGTGAGTTCGATTCTCACTGGGTGCCCCCTAAATTCAGCCTTGTGCAACATCTAAGCTGCGCTTGGAAAATCACTCTATAGGCCACACACATTCATACTTGCTGAAAAATTATAAACCAACATGTACAACATGCCATGCAACAGTCACGGGGAAACACATTTACCTGAATGTATTTACTTAGCACCTGTAAGACAAATACTTCAAGGAAACTAACACGGGAATCTATTTGAAACTTCTGAAAGCGTTAATATAATGTCCTACTTTAAAGAAATAAGTTTATGTCAAAACATACAACACAACAGATCATGTGCAAACTATAAAACATACATTTACTCTGAAAGTATAAATATCTGTAGTTGAAGGCATACAACTTGTTTCGAAATAATGGATGTGATGGATAAATTGTCGTCTAAATGACAATAACACTGACATTTCATTTTAACAGATATATTTACCAAAATTACACAAAAACATCTTGAAAATACTAAAGAGTATATCTGTTCAATAAAATCACCATTGGTTTCAACCACGGCTTCCAGGCAACTTCGGAATCTTATGCAACTCTTCTGGATGGTCTCTTTGTATAAGTTGGTGAATGCTGCCATAATCCTTGTCTTCAGTTCATATTTGGTGTTACAAGGAGTTTCGTTGATCTTTCGCACAACTGCGCCCCACACATAATAATCAAGGGTTTTTCTGTCTGGGGAATTATGTGACCAGATGTAAGCGGTGATGTGCTCGCAGAAATTGTCTAACATACATGACTGGGTACTCCTGCTTGCGTGACATGTTGTAGAGTCTTGTTGCTAGACATAGGGTCATCGAGCAGCCAGCCTTTCGGCCCAGAGCAGCACTTACCTTCTCAAGGCACTTGAGATAGTTCTCCGTGTTAATTCTGAGGCCCTGCGAGAAGATAAATGGAAGTATAATGTTGCCATCACTAATGAACACTCCAAACACCTTCGTAATCACTATTAGACTCATCCAACAAACCAATTATCTAGGGTGTCAATGAATCAGAGACTGGAACACCAAAGCTGCAAAGTTTATAGTGTCACATCTGGTCAGGTAATCAAGGGTTCTTGATAATGAATTTACCAACTAATGTACAGTGCTATATTTCTTCTTTTATATACCGTGTACCTTCAGGATATATGCAATCATGGCCCTCCACATTTTCCTATTCCTTGTAGCTCTTAACAGGTTTTGTCTTTTTGTTATTTCTCCCAAACCCTGTTCTATCATACATTTACTCAAGGACATCAAGTATGTCACAAGCTGCTTTCCTAAGTTTTTCTCTTTAGGAAAAACAATCTCGTTCCCTCTAAGGCTAGAAAATCTCTCCTCGGTTAATCATAAAAACAGTAGGGCAGTTAATCCTTTAACTTTGAAAGGTATTCCAGCTAAAAGGTTATAAATTCTAACACTGGAAATATAACCGCTTGCGATTTGCTGCAACTGATCGCATAAAATGACATTATTATGGTTTTGTGTTTTTGTGTGTGTGTGCGCGCGTTTTTTTGTTTTTTTTATACAACCTTAAGATGCTCATGCCATAAAGCGATAATGAGAGTTTCTTAACCGGTTGGATTCATTATTAGCCATGGTCAGTGGTCAAGCCCATGTAAAAGGCCATATTTTCAATACTGGCAAGTAGATCTTCGGCACTTGGAAGGTTGTCGCAACACAATCTACCAATTTCCAATTAGTCTTTAATTTACTAAGGGTGTGATTGAGAAATTTTAAAAAATCCTTTCACTTCACTCCATTTCAATTGTCTGCAATAAATTATGGCTGGGTGAAAAGAAACTTTTGGAAATTATCTGAATATATTTTCCTTATTCACTCAGCAAAAACTTATTTGTTCTTGAGGTCTTACTTCCCAGAGTGGGACTCACCAATTCCGCAGTCGTAATTGAATGTCGGAACGCCTTTTACTGTTCAGTATTCTTTTTTTATTTCAATCATTCTTATCTGCAAGTGTAATTTAGTAGCAAACCGAACTTAAATGAGAATTGCCAACACTCTAACGTAATAATAAAGCAATCGTCTTCCATTGCACGTGACTCCCTGATAAATTACTCGATTTCTGTAAAATTTCATTTCCAGTGACCAAGACACTGATTAAGATTCCCGTTCTCACCAATTTCATCACCAAACGCCATGTTCGTTTTTAAAACGTAAGAGAGAAAAAAGCCTCGACATCGTTCGATTACCAATCAGCAAAAGTCACTATCGCGTGTTCTTCATAAACTTGTAAATGAACCAACCGGAATTCTATATTAACGCCGATTGCTGTTTCTCAGATGCTAAATCCAGAAAATGACTCCCATGTAATCGTTTGATCATGTGATCAAAGGAGAACCAATGAAAAAGACTCTTTTAAATAGCTTCATTTACCGGCTAAAGCTGAAGGTAATCAGAAGATGATAAATACGTTTCAAGTTAAATGACAAATTACAATCCTGGATTCTATCGTTCCTTCAGCTTGTGTACGAAGCCTGTTTTAGCAAACAGATTTTGACATGTCGGATTAACTATCTCCACCCACTAACTCTTGCTATTTTTACCTATGATTCGAGGAAAGAGTGGATATCACTTGATTTTGGGGTTGTCCTATAGCTAGACTAATGTCCAAACATAACAAGACAGACTGGTCTCTGTATCAATTTTACCAATAACTGGTAGTTAAGATGGATTCACTGTCTCCGCCAAAATTCGAACTCTGCTCGCTGGGTTCATTTCCATACATTTTAATCTTCATCCATAAATTTGTTTCTTTCTTTATTAGGTTTAGGTTGTTCATTTTAGAATTTATCAATTTTTTGCAGGTTATTTAAAGGCAGAAATATTTTTTAGATTGTAAGAATCTTTTCTGAGATAATAATTACTGATACAAATGCTACTAATTAACTCATAGCTGAGGAGAGAAGAGGTGAATACATGCCTTTCTCAAGGGTATTTGTACTTAAATGAACGTAACGAATCCGACTGGAATTGAGACGAGGCCCTCCAATTCCGAGCCGATTTCCACTACACCACCCGCGCCTCCAGCTTACAGCACCTGATATTCCCAAATGGTTACCCATCTAAGTACTGAGCCGGTTCGATGTTGTTTAACTTCGGTGATCGCAAGAGAGTCGGTTCTTCAACGTGATCTGGTCGTAAGCCTCTTCGGGTTAAGATATGACAAACTATACCGCAATAATTGAAGTTTCATTCTCAGTAGAGAATAAAAGATAAAGAAAATTGTGAATGGAATGTCTACCTGTAAATATGATTCGACCTTCGTAAGTGAAGCCTTTTGAAGCGTTTTTTTGGTCTTAACTGATAATGCTTTCTCTCGTAATTTCGGGTCACGTGATTATTATTATTATTAGTAGTATATGTAAATAAAAATGGTTGCGTTCGGAAGTAGGCGATATATATGTATCTTGCTATTTGAATTTCACTAATCGGTAAACAGCACACCAGAAGAGGAACGAATAAATTCGCTAGTATCTTATTTTTTTCTTTTCTTTTTTTTAATCTGCGATGTTTACTAACGATCGTTGAATGACGATCTGAAAATTGCGAAAAAACATGCAGATAAACATGAAATAATAATTAAATAATATTTAATTGATGCCATGTAATCTGTATTGATTAATTAATAATCTGATTGTGTTAAAGACGTAAAGACTTGAGTCAAATTCTTTTTGTAGGATTCTATGCGATCATTTTTAACACTTTTCTCTCTGCAACATTTTGTCTGTGTCATGGGATTAGTTTCGCTAATAGGTAATTAGCAAAAAGAGAGCTATAACATATAGCTCACGGGCAACTTTGAGTCAGTGTACGTAGAATATCTATGGCTACAAATTTTGATCATCATGCCAGTCTGTTTAGATAAATAATAACAATTGATGCTTGCTTGGTATCGTAGCTATTTGCATTACGATTAGCAGCAGTTTCAGGGTACTTACCGATTCCATTTTTCTAAGCAAGTAACCCTTATCCAACCCGCATATATGATGTTGGTGTCTGTGTGTGTATATAAGTAGCACACAATGAGTACTGGTGGTAATAAATCAGGGCCCGATGTAAAAACAACAACGCTAAATCTTATACCACTAATAATAATGTATATTCTAAGTTTCAAACACGAGACAATCGTTAGGCGTAATTCGCGCCTGACGATTGCCTTGTGCTTGGATTAGTGCGTCTAATGTGTACATCGGTAACTAGAAAAAATCAATTTTCAATTATTATGGTTAAACTGAATATTTTACCGCCCTAATCGGGTATTATGTATGCAATAATCAATATTTGATACATAATATTTTAGCTCACTTATCGAAAACGCATTAATCGAGGGATATATATATATATATATATATTTAAGTAAATGCTCTGTTTATAATTAACAGTATAAACAACATTTACCGGCCTGCATCCTACACGGAACATTTCATAACATATGATGCTATATTTTACGTTAATATATTTCACCGTTCGAGAGAAATCCTGGGAAATTTGTAGTTTAAAAGCAGTAATTCGAACTTGGTAACCAAACGCTTCCTCTGTAGCTAAATAGTATAGCACGTCAGGTTATATGACGGTTCCGTGTAGGATACAGTTTCAATTCCTGTCGAAGTACGCATATTTTCTATGAAATTTGTCGGAGATTCTGAGCGGCGTAACTGTATTAGTCATAAACGAATATTTAAAAATTATTTTTAATAAATTATTTATGTGAGCCTTTAAAGTATAAGAAGTTACATTTATGTAAAAATTTTGATCGCTTGAGCATTTAATGCACTTGATATTTTCCTTCCGTTTAGTCTTTATCGAAAAAAACATAGCCGTAAAACTCAAATTATTTTGAGTACGCTGATATATACAAATAATGAATCAAACTAATTTTTAATTTCTAAACTGGATTTTAGAGAGCAAAACTTTGACAAAACCGCTGAAAGATGTTTCTGTAAAAACATTGGCATGCCTGAAAGAAAATGTGTCGAGTCTGTTTGATTGCAAGTATCTTTTTTCTGTTTGTGCTAAAAATGCCGAATTCTCAGAAAATAAAATTTGCTTAAATTTCAAATAAGATTAAATCGTTCAATAAAAACAAATATGACGTCTATTGTTGTCTTTTTTGTGAGAGTCAATAAATAAATTAGATTTACTGTCGAGAAAGACATTTTTTTCCTTTTCGAAAGTCACACAAATTAAAAAAAAAACTTTAGCATACATAAAACTAAAATTGCTGCTGATAAAGAATCTACTTTTTCGGACAATCAGAGAAAAAGAAAAAAATTCGCTTGACTTAAAAACCAACTTTTCTATTTTCTTTTGCTTTAACTATGGATTACCTGTACGGATTCCTTGTATAGAATTCTAAGGTTAAATGTTTCATGTTCAAATTTTATCGCAAATTAAAAGTGTGCAACATTACAAAGAGGTTATAGTCTAAATATATTTTTCTTTTCTCAAAATTCAATATACATCTATAAGCATTTTACATTAGATCCAGTTTCAAGTAATAAGAAATGTTTCTTTACTGAATTCCTTTTATTGTGGACATATATTTATGGAGGTGATCGCAGATTTTCTTTAGAAAAAAGTATTTAAATTTGTGTTTGTAATATTAATTTCTAAACTTTTTTTGGCATTTTTTTTCGATAATTTGTTGTTTATTCCTTTCTTGTAGTTTATCGCTCGTTAAATTTTGAAACTTACTTGATCGATGCTAACCTTGCGATACAATGACATTCCCAAGAACAAAAAGTTCTGTCCAGTTTGAATTGTGCGACTGGCGTCCGAGATCAGTTTTTAAACCCAGATAAGAATGATGACTTAAACAGGTAGACGTTCTTCTGTGGTAAAATTGATATAATATACAATTTTTCTTCGTGTTTATGCTGAGAAAACTTTATCATTAAGAAATATTAATGTTTATTGACTTATATAAAAGATTAACGGTTTAAATTAAATATTCAATGAAATGAAATGTATCTTCATAAATATTTAAACGAACACTCAAACAGCCGATAACACTAATTAATGGAACAATAGCTTTCAGCAGTCGTTCTTCTTTGACGCCGCTGGTAGGTGACCGTCGTCTCCTAGAATGTTGCTTACGAATGTCGTGATTTTCATTTGCTTCAAACTTATCTCTCATGCAAGCAATGGTGCATCGCATTGGTGGAACTGGTTTCTAAATTGTCTTTACAATTCTTTGATGATTTCGTGCTTCCAGTAACACCTTGACAAATCTTTCTTCAAAACTTATATGTACTCCTGCCATTTATTAGGCTTCATTAGATCTGAAAAAAATATTCAAGAAGTTATAGACTATCCAAAAATTTGTGTATTTTGGGGTTACCGAGTAATATATATATATAAATGCAATCGGAACGAATCAAATACAAATTCAACCATTCATAACATTAATTTAAAATAAAGCTCAATGCGAAAGTAGAATTATAATTCTTTATTATAGGTTATTACATATTACCGCTACAAAAATACATCGTTTCGATGCAACATAGCATCTCATCAGGCGGTGGTGAAACGATGATTATAACCATTTTTAATAATAATAATACCAAGTAATATTAAGCGAAACTTTTGAAAGTAGTTTTGAAACGCACAGAATTGTGATACGTAGAACAAACACCCGAGGTGATGCTTCCTCGATCACAGTGATCTTAACCTCTTCAAGTCTAATATCAACCGTTACCTATCCCCCATATCCTTATAATAAGTACGTCTCTCTTCTTACGTCTATACATCAACCTAATTCTTTAATTCTCTACCTCGAGTGGCTCTAGGATCTTGTATTGGGTGAACAACAAATATAAAAAAAGTGTTAAATTTATTATCGAATAATAGATCAAAATAAACGTGCAAGAGGAAAGAAAATATTTTTGCGATATTTCATCCATTTTATTTATTAAATAAATCAATATTTGTATAAATAAATCAATATTTGTGTATGATTTCGAATAGAAAACCTGGCGAATGGATCAAGGAGCGAATGCGAAGATACAGGCCGTGGGTGAGCCATATGAGATTTTAGTTGTCAACATTTGTGCAATTTCTCCGCCTCCACCCATTCTTCCTTATTCCACAAATATAACATTTGGATTTGGATTTTACTATGAAGAATAACATGTTAAAAATAGAATTGAGGGGAAAAAGTGAAAGTATGACTAAGAACTAGATCTCCTCAAATGTGAAAAAAATCCAGTTCTCTTCAAAATTAATCGCCAGGAAGGAATCCGTTGGGGAAATCTAGTGAGAACCTAAACAGCTGCTGCAAAAGCCTAATCCGATGTCTTAAATCTCTTACTATCTGCTAAAAGAATATTACCGATCAAGGTTGGTATAAATCAAATTGAAAAAAAAATAAAAACAAGAATGTCTACTCATCCGCTACAGATTGACAAGATGCTTGCTTAATGGTTACAGTAGTTGTGTATTTCCCATTGGCATTTATGGTCGGTAAAATCTTAAATGAAGGGAATAAAAAAAATATCAGGTCTCCAATTTGACCTTGTATCAGACTGTGATAACCTAAATTATTTTTGTTTCTTTAATATTTGTTTGTGTCTCGTTTTTGCCTTATTTGTTATTGATATGGTTCTTTTTTTATTATTGTGTGTATTTTTTGTGTTCTTTATCTTTGTGGTTGTTTATTGTTTTTGTGTTTTTTTTTTTTTTTTTTTTTGTAGTTGTTCTTTATTGCTATTTTCCTAGTCGAGTCGTTTTTTTTTCTTGTTTCGTTCTTTTTTGTCTGTTTGTTGTGTCATTTTTATGCCATTCAATACTAAATTTTCAGATGACCCATGCAGTTATCAATAGAAACCTGCCCCTTCTTAAACACTCATATTTTGTAGTCAATATTTGGGGTCATTTGGGGGTCTGTTTGATTCTCCAGTCCTCTCGCCATCGGCTCCATTATTAAATAAAAAAAGATATAAAACTTCTTTCAAAAGTTCTTTTCTTTTTACTCTAACAAAATCTTCGAAAACCTCAAAATGCTTTAAAAGACAACTGGGGCTCAAAAGTTCATATCCCAAGTACTTGAGCTTCTTTATAGGAATCTGTGAGGCGTGGATTCTGGCGTTCTATTTTCGCAATATACCAGCTGTACTTCAGTTATGTTTCAAAATCTATTTTAT